AGACCTTGAAGAGTTTCAAAATAAATCCTCAAATCAACTTTGAAGTGGGAGATACTGGGCTTCCTTTCTGACCATTTACATTTGTGTATGTAAAACTTACCTAATAATATTAGAAGATTTAGCATAAAAATGTGACTCTTATCCATATCTTTTTTTTTAATCAAAATAAAATATAACATCTCTTTTTCTTATATTAATTTTAGATCCACTCAACATAGTAAATAAATATTCAACATCAATCCAGAAAAATTGAACATACATTCGAAAAAATGATGCAAAACAGTCTCTACATCCATTCCACAAAAACACAAAATTCAGAGAGATCAGCTCTGTATCTCTTGAGAAACTGGTTAGTTGGATAAATTATATGTATAATTTTAAAGTAAACTTCACTAACTTTATTTGTGAAATACGGTAGGAACAAGATGATTGACAGGCCAGGTGCCTGTAACTATGCGACAGAGAGTCCGTTAAAGACGCAGTTGTGTGACGTGACAGTATGTCCCAAAGCTTGCCTACTCTTCTACTACACACTCAAAAGTGTGTACCTTTTCTTCACCAAAAGAGTACATACTTTAAGGGCGTAGTACAAGTAGGCACATTGAGACGCAGCATGGGACGACTTTTACTTTGACAGCATAGTTGCAGTAAGTTCCGTATCGGTGTTGCCATGTCCACTTTGCGATTGTTTTCTACCGACAAAGTCGCTTATATACGTAGTGGCGGGTAGTTTATTTCTAGAATGCAGTAGTGTAAAACGTTTTAATTATTTATGTAAAATTATATAATTAAATACCTACTTATGCTTATTTGTTGAGGCAAGTCGTTATGTTTTGACCAGACCAGGTTTCTTGTTTTGTGTAAAGATCTGGCAACAGTGTTCTGTATTCACGTCTGCTTCACCACACTACGGTCTGCACGGGAAAAAAGGTGTGAGGATGGTGCTGAGTTGAATAAAGGTAAAGCTTTCCTTCGCTTGCCTCTTTCTGTGTACATTAGCACAACTGTAATTCTAGTATTGTCTAAAAAGAAACTCTTAAACACAGTTTAAAATGGTTTTATTAAGTAAATAGTTTTCGGCCATAATACGTTCGGTTTTGATTTAAGCTCTCTTTTCTCGTCTTATACAAACATCTGTAATAAGTGAAAATAAATTATTCCCGGTACTGTGCTGCTCAGGTAGTGGCAAATGGACTTCCTCACTCTGTTTGGTATATATGTGGCAGTGGTGCTCACCTGCATCGCTCTGGTTTGTAAGTATTCAGGACATCAGCAGACTCTTCTCTGTCTGCTTTTGGACAAGTTCACAGGGGTAAGTGAAGCCCTGCAAACGGATTATTTCTGTAATTGATTAAAATATAATTTATATCAAGTTGTTGCTTTTAGATCGTCTCGCCATGGATCCCACAATGTATCCAAAGCTTTTGCTACAGATCTATGCACAGGCTGTTCCATCAAAGGTAAGAGAGTTAGAACGGGTCACACCACACCTTGCTTTTCTGTACATTATAGACTGACAGTGAATTTTATCTCTAATCAAAATGCAGTCAAAACCGGCTGTTTTGACAAAACCGGTCTATGTATACTACCATTCAAATGTTTGGAGTCTGTAAGATTTTTAAAGGTTTTTTAAAGAAGTCTCGCCTCTTATGCTCAACAAGGCTGTATTTATTTGATCAAAATACAGTAAAAACAGTAACATTGTGAAATATTATAATTTACAAAAATAGTTATTTTCTAGGGGTGGGCAATATGACCAAAATCTTATTTCACGATATGAGACATTTTATTTCACGATAACAATATATATCTCGATATAGCTGTTTTATTTTATTTCGTTTTTGTTATTAAAAATAAGAAAAAGAAGAAAATTACAAACACAGTAGAACAAATAAATATGAAATAAACCTTTAATTTATTCAGCTACAGTAGGCTAGGTTTATTTAACATGTAGTAAGAAATATTACAGAAATTGAATAAAGTGTATAAATAAGACACTGTACAGTCGTCACTGTATCAATCAAACATTAACTGATCCTTATTAAAGATCCAAAAGTGATTCAGTCAAGGACAGTAAGTGATTAACATTAATAATGACAGACAGCAGCTGGTAAATTAGACTGCTGTCCCTTTAAGACCAACTGCACGGATCCAATATACTGATACACATCTGGTTTTCACCCAACTGTTTATGGGAATACTCATGCACGTCCTAGATTCGCAATTGCATGCTGTCTGATGAGAGAGGTGCTTTCTGAGTGTGTGCTTCGTATGTGTGTCAGTCTGCCCGAGCACCACATTGAGTTCTTTTTCACTGCTTATCGCAATAACTCTATCAAGTGCGTCCCACACATAATTTTCTCATTCATGAATGTTTCCTTATCACTCAAAGGTCTATGTAACTTTTAAGTAGTACTATGTTACGCAGATATATTTGCATACCACAGAATACACGATATAGCAAAATCTCTAACGATAGACACTTTATTCTGCGGTAACGATATATACGGTCATACCGCCCAGCCCTATTATTTTCTATTTGAATATATTTTAAAATATAATTTATATCGGTGAAAGTAAAGCTGATTTTCAGCAGCCATTACTGCAGTCTTCAGTGTCACATGATCCTTCAGAATTCATTCTGATATAATGATTTGATGTGAACAGTTGATTAATAATTGATTTATAATGAGTTGATTTTTGAACAGTAGTAATATTTGTAAATGTTTGTTTGCAAACATTTTATTTACCTTGTTTAGTCTTTTTTTTTTTTTTTCATTAAACAAATGTTTAAAATGAATTTTGCAGTTGTATTACAAATGTAATGTTTGTCAACTGGACACTTTAAAGGGATAGTTCACCCAAAAATTAAAATTTGCTGTTAATTTACTCACCCTCAGGCCATCCGAGATGTAGGTGTTTTTTTTCTTCTTCAGTAGAACAGTAAAGATGATTTTCATCTGAAACCGTGATCCTTGGTGATTCATACGCTGCACGTCTGTGGCTGCTGGTTTTAGAGTGTAAAAAAAAAAAACAGACAAGATCAAATTAATTCCCATGGCTCCTGATGAAATAATAAGGTCTTATGAAGCGAAACAATCGTGGTCTGTGCAAGAAAATCAACATTATTTACAACATTATTACTTTTAATCCACAGCCTGGGCAAACGGTTCTCAGCATGTTCACAACTGTCTAGAGCGTGAACTTCCTTTGTCACATAATGCCGTATGCCTGGGAGCACACTGACACGTAAGATAATGACACTGTTTGTTTACAATAGAGAGTGAGGACTCGTGCGCAAACTGAGAGAGATGACCAAGAACACACGTGAGCTGACCCTATTTATTTACAACGGAGTGTCAGGACTCGTGTGCAGACTTTCACTAGCAGTGCCAGCATCTACAGCTCACAACATAAAAGTTACAATGGCTGATGGTTTCGATGTGAAAGAGGATTCTTGGTCGCTGTTTGATCACGTAGGGATATGCATAAAATTCCACGTCATCCTCTTTCACATTGAAATCATCAGTGTCAGCTCATGCATGTTCTTGGTCATCTCTGTCAGTTTGCTCACTCTCCGTTGTAAACAAACAGCATCATCAGCTTATGTGTGAATATGCACCCGCGCATCCGTCATTATGCGACAGAGGAAGACAGTCGTGAACACGCTGAGAACTGTTTGCCCAGGCTGTGGATTAAAGGTAATAATGTAGTTAATAATATTCAGTTTCTTGCACAGAGCAATCGTTTCGTTTCATAAGACCTCAATGTGTCGTCAGGAGTCACAGGTAATTTGGTCTTGTCTGTATATGTTTTTTTGGACTCTCAACATGCAGTTAATGAATTGTCAAAGACAACAGTTTCACCTAAAAATCTTCTTTTCTGTTCTACTGAAAAAAAAAGTCACCTACATCTCGGATGGCCTGAGGGTGAGTATATTAACAGCAAACTTTCATTTTTGGGTGAACTATCCCATTAAGCCTGTATGTTTAGTCAGTATGACAAATGTTATAAATGCAGATTGTTATTAAATAAAGGCTATTATGTGTTGTAATGTGTGCTTTTTAGTGACTGACATACACCAGTTAATAATTTTGTTAAACTCAGTATAAAATGTAATAACTAGTTCTTGTTATGATGTTATGTTCTTACGTTATGATGCCCAAATAATAATTCTTAGTTTAGGTAACATGAAATGGTTACATTTTATTTGACAATATTTGCTGTAGTTTTCTAAATGTTCGACCAATTAAAACATTTTAGTTGAATGGACTATAAAACTAGTTCAGTAAAGGTTGAGCCAACTAAAAAAGAACTATTCAAGTAACATTTTGAAGAGAGAAATTGAGTGAATGTAAAAAATCTGTTGAACTAGTTTTTAAATAGTAATTAGTTGTAGCAGCTTGAAATTTTTTACAGTGTAGTTAAACTAATAAAATAATAATAAAAATGTCCCATATTTGATAGAATACTACTTGACACATTTAAGGCAGTTTCTTGCATGCATTTGGCAGGTACTTTGATCTGAAGTAACTTACAGTGTATTCAGACTATGCAATGTATTCAAGCTATACATTTTATCACTTTGTGTTCTCTAAACATCAAACTGTGAAGTATATTTCCTCTGATCCTATGTCTATTTATTTTTCACATTAGGAACAACTTCTTCCTTTTCTTGCACCTGTTACTTGAAGTGGTTGTGTATGGAGAATTCTCCTATGAAGCCTTTGGCTTCTGTTTGGACATGGGCACAAGTTCAATCAGTTTGAGCATTCCTTATGTCCTCCTTGCAGTGAAGTCTTATCTCTTCTACCTGTGTTGTAGCAGAGACCCAGGTAAGAAAATGAACAATTGTCTCATTTCCGTTGAAAATAAATAGAATACTCGTACAATTAATTTGACTTTCCTTTTAAAGGCACATTGACAAAGGCAAACCATACTGCACAACTGAAGGTCTACCAGTATGATGAAAAACTGTTCCAGCAGGGAGTCCGGTGTTCAACCTGTCAGCTGCTCAAACCTGCCCGATCCAAACACTGTCGTAAGTATAGAAGTAAAGTTAATCCTTCCTTTGAACATCAGATTTTATTTCATGTACTTTTACAGTCCATGTACACTTTTTGGAAGTGAAAAAGAACGAGTCATTGTGTGAGGTGAAAATAACTCAATGATTTGACTTGAATTTAATTTAATTCCCTGTGATTTTTCATTTTAATAATTGTTTCTTATCAGATGTTTTTTATCAGTTATATACGTAAGGACTTTATTTGACACTGTGTGTTGTTAGATACATTTTATTTGCATTTGTGTGTATGACACTGTGCACCTGGTATTGGAAATTCCTTAGTTTGTGGAAAAGCTACTTGTGATGAAGCCATCATGTTGCTTTCTCTGTCCCATTTTTTTTAGTATTATAAAAGTACAAAACAAATTTTAGTACTTTATTTTAGTACAGTTAATTAAATATATATTTTTACTGTAAATCTGTAAAACACAAAACATTGCTACCATTGTTATTTTTCTAAAGTTCTTTCTTTTTTAACCATAGATTTCCAGATTTTTTTTTTTACAGTGTGTCCTTGTAAGTTTACTGTAACTACTAATTAACTCCTTCAGCTGTGAACCAGCTATTACTAACCCCATTTTATATAATATAAGCTAAATTAATATTCAGCATTCAGTTCAAGTTAAGAGGCATTATATTGATCACAAAATAATTTCCCTTGTCCCTTAGTTAAAAAAGCAGCAAGAAACAAACAAATAATATTAGTGAAACAAGCTATTATTAGTAGTATTATAATTATTAATAATGGCCCAGTGTACCTCACTGTTTTATTTTTTCAACATTATTCATCAAATGCTGTTGATCTCATTTGTACAGGGGTTTGCAATCGATGTGTGCAGAGATTCGACCATCATTGTGTGTGGGTGAATAACTGCATTGGTGCCCAGAACACCAGATACTTCCTGCTGTACCTCCTGAGTGTGTGTGCCATGGCAGGTGATATCGCAGTCCTTACAGCAGACATGTTGCTCCAAGCTGTTCTACGAACTGGACTCCTGCATGCTCACTACATTGATGAGCAGGGTGAGCAACAGCCTGCTGGACCGATATTTATCATCCAGGTAATAAAAACATACCACAGAAATGGTCTTTACTAGTAAATGTGCTATGGTACATGAATTGTCTCTCTAATAAATCTTTTTCCATTGCATTCCTTGTTACAGCATCTCTTTCTGACATTTCCAAGGATCGTCTTCATGCTAGGCTTCTTGGTATTTGTCTTTTTCCTCTTGGCGGGTTATTCCATGTTTCACATGTATTTAGCTTTGATAAATCAAACCTCCAATGAGTGGTTTAAAGGAAAAGGTCACAACTGCCAGCATTGCCATCCATACTCTGCACACAACTGCCGGACCTCATACAATCCATTTAGAGGTTTCTATCACAGGGGAATCCTCAAAAACCTTGGGGAAATCTTTTGGCCCCTATGTCCTGCACAGAAAAAAGAGAACTAGAGAAAGTGTATTATTGTTCTTACACCGTGTCTACAACGGATGTGACTGTTGTCGCTACAGCTTGAGGCTGTCTACACTGGACATTTGAACTTTGAAAATCATTTGAACTTTGTGTCAGTACGTCATAAATAGAATGAGGCATCAGTTTACTGTTGGGGATTTGTCGCGTCACGCCACGCCGCTCCACATCCAGTGTGGGCAGCATTACTGATTATAATGGGTTCTACTGTATTTTGTCGCACCGCACCGTTTGTGTCCGGTGTCCCACATTTTTGTCTCTACTGCGTCACTTGTGGATGTGTGTGGCGCTGCCACACGCTCGCATCATGGTACTGTCGTGACCGCGTGTCCACAAGTGACGCAGTAGAGCCGAAAATGTGGAATAAAGTCGTTAGTTTTGTTTTCTATGCACAAAAAAGTATTCTCGTAGCGTCGTAACTTTACAGTTGAACCACTGATGTCACAAGGACTACTTTGGCGATCATTTTGGTACTTTTCTGGACCTTGAACGTGGTAGTTACCTTGCTGTCTATGGGAGGGTCAGAGAGCCCTCAAATTTCATCAAAAATATCTTAAATTGTGTTCCGAAGATGAACGAAGGTCTTACGGGTTTGGAACAACACGAGGGTGAGTAATTAATTACAGAATTTTCATTTTTGGGTGAACTAACCCTTTAACTGTCTTTTTGTATTAAATTGACAAAATAGTCCGTGTGACATCAGTGGTTCAACTGTAAAGCTACGAAGCTACGAGAATACTTTTTTGCGCAAAGA